CCCAAGCCTCCATCCACCCCCTTGTTACAGCACAATGGCCCCCAGCCCAACATATGATATGGCCGTCCCGCATTGCCCTCCCAGTTCGCCAGAGTCGCCTGATTAGATGGCAGGGGGATGGTGAGTCCACGACCGGGCTCTTTAATAAGATTAGTGCCCATAATCCCTGAAGCAGGAGGGGTGGGGGGCTGCAGGAGTGGGGGTGCGGGGCCAAGCAGAGCACTTCTCATACTTTATCATTTCAATACACTGACTCGCTGCACTTGAAGAACAGATAGTTTTACTCAGCTAGGAAGTCTGGCTAATCACAGCCCAGATCATTTGGATTGCTCTTCAAAGTCTTCAAATTATTTCTGCACCCCATGTAATTTTCAACTCACAGAGTTTGGGGTGCATCAGGGGTCCGTGGTACTTCTACACATCACCCCTGAGACACAGAGACCAATCAGAGGCAGGTAGGGCAGGAGACGGACACACGGCAGGAAGTCTAACAAGGACAGAAGGCTGTGACGGAAGAAGAGGAGCAGAGGCTCCTGGGGATTCGAACCCGTGACGCTCCTCTCCTCTTCTCACCTTGGCTTTGCTCAGCTTCACCTCCAGGGACCTGAAGTCCAGCTCGCCGATCAGAGAGCGCATGAAGTCACTGTAGAAACAGCAGTGCGATTGTGATGTGTAAAAACACTCCAGTGAACTAACACTTTGCACAACTGGTCTTACTAACACTCCTGAGATCCTTGGTTTTAAGTACAAAGGCTATCTGCCATTTGCATTTAATGTACGGCTGCGCGTGACCTTCTAAGTTTAAGAGCATTAGCTGAATGACTGTAAAGAACGTTCTGGAACAAATCCTGAGATTCTTCACCCTGCCATGTTAACCCCCCACCCCCCCGCCGCCAGCAACGCATGTTGGACGCTATAGAGTGATATGGCGCCCCCCTTGTCTGACACGACACCCGGTGTCACCCCGAGCACTTCCCGCGCCGCCCTTGCCGTCCGTAATGAGGTGGAACACGCTTTCGCAGGCAGCACGCACCGTTGGGCATCAAAGCATGGAACACTGCGAGTCGTGAATCCTCCTTCCTGCTGTCCCACTGCACAGCCCCTCCGGCTCCCGCTCTGAGCGGAGTCAGTGTCCCGCCTCTGAATGAGCAAAACGTCAGCAGATTTATTCTCCTCTATCTCGCTTTCCTCCATTTCTCGATGGAGAAACATTAGGATCTGGCCCCCGTCTCCTCAGGGTAAGTGGTGTCGGGCGGCAGGGCACTGGGGCCGCCCCGCGTCTGTGACTCGGACTGATGAGCGAGAAACTGGACACGCCTGGACACTCGTGACATTAAGGACTCCTGAGCACATTGTGCCCATTCATGGCTTCTTTCCTCGCAGACAATGACTCGGGATGCCGGGACGACCTGCCGCAGTAACGGATAAAACTGGTAGAGGGGGGCATAGGGGCGATTGAGGCGCACTCCGAGACGACCGCCCCAAAACGACTTCGCTCGCGTAATTGGGCAGAGACACAGGCGGCCCCGTCGGGCCTGTGGCACGCTGGCCGCCCGCTGGTCTCCCCCCCACACACGCTAACGAGCGCTGAATGACCTGTTAAAGGAGGATGCCCCCCCACCCGGTACAGTGCCACTGCTCTCAGGGCACGCCTGAGTGCCTCCTTGCGCTGCCATTGGCTGGCAAGCTCGGGGTGGGTGGCGGTCAAGGTTTGAAGGATATGAGGGCAGACAGCACGGCTAATGATCATTAATTGCACTTGGTTTGCAGTAAAAGAAGCCAATTGAGTGTCCGGGAATGACAACACCCTTGGATAATGACAGGCTAACCCACTTCTTTTGTTGGCCGACTTCAGGTCTTCACGCCCCGCTCATTACCGCCATGAGCAAACCGCCGGCTCTGCCATATTCCTGGCTTACGTAACACCCACCGTTTCTGTGCCATGCTCTTTTTTTGGGGGGGTGGGGTCACTTTCTGGTCTGACCCAGTTAAATTGCTTTGGGGGGGGAGCAGAGGGACAGGGGCATTAAGCCTGGTGATTTGCGGTAGGGAAAGACGGAAGCCTTTGGAGTCTTGTGGAAAAATGGGAAACGAGACCAGTGCATTGTGGGTAATATTGAAATTAGGATACCGTGTTGTGGATATAAGGGTCTAAAGGGGAATAAGTGGAGTGCCGCGGGCCTGAGGAAAGCGGTGTGGCTGTGAGGCAGCAGCGTAAATGAAAGTGAAGGTGGCGGCAGGTGTGTATTGATGCTTCGAACCGTCTCAGGTTTCCCGTTGCTGCTGAAAAGGTATCCCGATCCTCGGTGTGCCTCAGAGCCACTGCCGGGAACCGGCAGGAATAATGGCAGGGATTTAGTGTTCCACTGGAGGCTTCGCACCAGCCCCTGCGGCCTGACGACAGCCTCCCTGCCAGCTGACGGCGAGGACATTTCATTATCCCTCTATTACATCAGGCTAACATTTAGGGCTGCGGCTTATTTGCACACACGCAGCGATGACTGGGCTCCATCTGCACACAGAATGATGAGTCGCGCTGTTTACACAGATATGAATATGGCTGCTTAACTTACACACACACATTCATGGTGCATTGCTGATAAATGTAAATGTCTTCAGTTTAACCACACAGGCAGTTATAAATGTGCTGGAGCCTGTGTGTGGTTCTCTGGGTTAGTACAGGATACATCTTTGAATAAATTTCTGCAGACTTAGTAAGTTTTGGAAATGTGACTAAAGCTCTTCCTTGTATTTCATGACGACTGAGTTTTGGTTCACAATAATGTAACTTGTGGTGAAGTAGCCTGACTTTAGGTCATGGTCTCATCTCAAAAATGGATTCAGTGAGTTTTGTAAATTTGCACTTCAGTTGTTCCAGGGACTGGCAGACGCTTTCTGAACTCTACATGGCTTTGGATAAAAGTGTCTGCTAAAAGAACAGATGTCAGTGTGAAAATCTATTGCATGTGTTATATTGACATGAGATGATCTATATGCAGTGTTGGGCATTTCAGGTCCAGAAGATACAAATCCAGACCAAGATTTTGTTCCAACCAAGCAGTTGACCATAAACAGTCACAGTCACAGAGTACTGAACCAGTTGGTTGGAACAAAATCTTGGTCTGGATTTGTATCTTCTGGACCTGAAATGCCCAACACTGTCCATATGTTCCATTTGACACATCCAGGGTGTCTGCTGTCTTGCCCCCAGCACCAGACAATGAATCTGTCCCTCAAACTCTGGCATTATAGAGGAGCTCTGTTCCCTTGTCTGCTAATGAACAGAAGAGTAACGTCTATCGGGAGAATGACTAAAGTCATCTCTACAGGCCTGTTTCTGCCTGTTCCCATTGTGTCTCATAGAAAGCCCTACTTTTGATCTCTGATTCCGGATTGTCCAAGGAAGCCCGTTTGAGGGGGACTAAGGCTGGCTGTCTGTGGAATGTTTGAAGCTGGATCTCCTACGGCAAACCTTCCATTGTGGGGGTGGGGAAGGGTTCCATTGGTGCTTAGGTCACGTGACCCACAGTGGGGGAATGTGGCATTAGAAGTGGTGGGTCCCATAACCATATGGCCAGTAAGAGACAGATGGAATGGGAGGGGCAGGAGGAGAAGGCAGGGTTACTGCATGGTTCTTTGGCCCTCTGGACTAAATGCAGACGTGTGATTGGATGTTTTGCACAGTACATATTCTTCCAACTCCAGTGAGAGGGACGGAGCTTCTTGTTTGAGCTTCTGATGGAAATGTACACCTCATAGGCTGGGGAAACAGGCACCCCCCCCCCCCCCCAAACAAACACACTGACATATAAATGGACGCATACACAGACATGCACTCAGACACAACACCCACTAACAAAGGGTAAGGAGTTGCCCATGACAGGGTCAGCACCCCAACACTACAGCACCTCTCTAATATATGAGCGGGCCAGTGACCCCTCTCCCCCCTCATTGTGTCCCAGGAGGGGGCGACTCACTCCAGGGCCGCCACTTTCTGTGCCAGACTGGCGATCACTGCGAAGAGCTTGATGTCAGTCAGCCCATCTGCCACTCGAAAGTCCACCAGCTCCAGGATCTGGGAAGGACAGACCAGTCAATATGATGGCACCCGATGCCGCTTGATTTGAATCTGAAACGGTTTGTGTATGTGTGTGCGTGTGTATGGGTATGTGAGCCTGAGGAAGTGTGTGTTAGTCGCTATGCATCTGTCATGCTGGGTATATGCAGTGGCGATGCTTGCCACCACTCAAATCACACTTTTGGGTCAGGCCCCTGAGGATTAGAGGGACCCCTGCTGGCCACAAACAGTCACTACACTAGTGGGGGAAAGGGGCCCTCAAGTGACTTTTTGAATGGGGTCCCCACGAACAACAAGCCCACCCCAAGGTACATGTACGTCAGTGATCACCCGGCACACATAGATCTCCTCCTCTTCAGAGAGCACCTCCTGAGGGACGACCTCCTTCAGAGCCAGCAGCACCTGGACGCAGGTGAGGTAGCCGTCGCCATCGCGGTCAACCTGGAGGGGAATGTTAACATACGGTACCGGCGTAGTGAGAGGGAGATGGGAGCGAGGGAGTGAGAGAGCGAGCACAGAAGGCATGCACCACACTCACCGCCTCAAAGACCCTTTTGTAAGTTGCCAGCTTCTCCTGGCTGAAAATGCAGTATTTTGCCAAGAACTCAACTGAAAAAAAGGCGGCAAAAGAAAGAACAGACCTATTAGCCAACACAAACAATCATCCATTCTGGGGGAGAACTAGCAACTAACAAGACCAACACAAACATCAACAAAAGCCTCACGCAAAACCAGCATCATCAACATGAACGCCGATATCAATAGCAAGACACACAGACCCCCAAACCCAGTACCAACCGCCCCGGCGAAATTCTGACCTATCAGAGCTGTGCTTGCATATACAAGAAAATCCCTCATCCACAGTGGAAATATCTACAGGCATCCACCCACATGCTCCAACTATGTTTGTCCACTGCAGTGACACTGGCTGTTGAGGGGGGGGGACACGTCTGTACTTTCTCTCTCCGCAGAGGTCAGATGCTCTCAGAGAGCAGGAATCTGTCATTCCGAGGGTGATGGACCCCAGTGACCTCTGCTAACCAGCCCCTCCCCCATAAACTGGAACATGACCAGCGCTTTGTGTAGATGGAGAGAATTATTACCTTATTCAGCACTGAAATTTAATGTTATTAAGATTGAAAGGCAATCCGTCTTTGTACTGATTTGTTCATTGTTTACTGCTTTTTCTGCAGCTTCAGTTTAACGTCGATGAGCAGCGAGGAGATTTTAACGGGATGATTCCGGAGGCAGATCTAAAACGCACACAGAAAACTGGTGACTGGGTCAGAGCTGAGCAGGAACAGGGCCTACAGGGGACGGGTGACCTTGCTGCGCCCCCCCCGGGGGGCATTTGGACCCCAGCCATTCTGGGGCTTCACACACACCCCCAGAACTCACTGCTGGACCACCGGGGGGGTTCTGACGGTGCCGGTCTTAAATATGGGTGCTGCAAGGCTCACCAAACAAAAACAAAGAGAGGAGGAGAGATGACAGTGACGCAAGCGGCGAGGGAGGCGTGGTGAGCCGAGCGGGGAGGAGGGCAGCGGGACGGGGAGCGTTTCGATCCCGCCGATGACCAAGGAGCTCACTTAATAATGGATCTATTCATGAGCTCCACAAGAATGGACACAGACGCCGTTTAAACCCACTGAGACCTAAACCCCAGGACCTCTGCGCTGAATCCGCCATTTATCCGCTAATTCCTAATGAAAGTCAGGCCTTGCGCTGCTCCCTCCGCCTTTTACATGCAAAGCATTATATTCACATCTAGTCAACTTTACTTGTTAAGGGTTGATTGATCAAAACGCAGAGTCCTACTCCGTACATCTGTTTGCAAATAGCGGCCGCAGGTCCCACCCACTTGCACACATCCATCCTTGACCCACCCTATCAAATCACGGTCATGATCAATGTGGCAGGGAGTCTGGGTGACACGCAGCCACCCCATGTGGGGCCCTCGCCGTAGAGGGGTCTTATCGGGGGTCCGGCGGGTATGTGCAGCTGCGCAGCCAGCACTGCGGAGAGGTGCACATAGAAATGAGGGGGTAGGCCCCGACCCCCACCCCGGTTCGGGAAATGATCCCAACAAAAGGTGCAGTGGAGTGCGAGATTGGTCAGAGACCCGGGGTGTGGGCAGGTGGAGGGGGGGGGGGTCTGTAGCCTTATCTGATTCCACTTCAGTGCATCATGGCTTTTTTTTTAAACTGGAGTGTTAAGGCACACAGGTTATTCTTTTGGTGTGAAGTCTAGCAGAAAATACTAATCAAGAGCCGGAGAATGGCGGCGTCTATTGGCGAGCAGCCGTCATCTGTAATGAAGATGGAGGCAATTCTGCGGGGATTGAGCGCAGAAGAATAGGGATCTGATGGTGGCCGCCAGGGGAGGGACACTCGTTTGTTCCTGTTTGTTTGTGCCCCCCTCCCTGTCCGGTTCCGGCAGGTCTACGAGCTCCTGTAGTCCCACCTTCAGCTCTGATGCTCATAAATACAGAGTCACCATCACAGTTTCCAGTCAGTAGGAGAGATTTTACTTCATTGTTTTTGTGAGTTAAAATTTTGTTTAGTTTTTATAATAAAACAAAACAGAGCTGTGAATGTAAACAAAGATGGACAGTCAGGCTGCAGTTATCTTACTTGAGTTATTGAGTCTTATTTATTATTTGGTGATTGAGCTGTATTCATTTTTTCTTTTGCTTTGGGGGCTGTGGGGGGGAGGTGTTGCTCAATTTGTCAGGGTTGACTTGTCACCAAAGAGCGAGTGGTGGGGGGGGGGGTGGGGGAAAGGTAAAGGTGGAGGGTGGGTCATAG